AGTGTGATGCTAATTGCGATGCGAATTCTGCACTAAACATGGTGGAACAGATTGTTGACCTGATACAACATTTCGTTTTTGCATAATTGTGAGTTGCCAGATGAAGTATTCTTCTAACCTTAGTCCTAACCATCAACATCGAAAAAAAAACATTTCTTGAAACAGCTTCAGAACCTCTCATTTCAGGGAAATTTTCATTGATTTACTCGCTTTGAAAATACCGTTCTTGTCTCTCAATTTATTACCAAGGTTTTTTTATTACAATCCGAATTCTGCATCAAAAAGTGGTGAGGCAATAAGTGGTTAAGTGTCTGTTGACATGATTCACGAGTAATTGAACAATCATAATTGAAATGTATTTTATTTTATTGTCTCTGTAGAACATTTTCAAGTTCCCATTCCGTCGTAAATGAAGTCGAGGCAATGTTCGATGAACTTCTGGCATAAATTCAGAAAAAAAATAACGTTGAGACCGGTTTGCAGAAAGATTCTTTTCTCGCTAAACACAAAACAAGTTCACTCTCTCATGGGCAATAAATCGATCACGAATGTCCAGGAAGTTGATCTCGGATGCTCATCAGGTCAGTTATCATCGTTCCCCGATGCAATGGAAGATGACCCAACTTATATATTATCGACTATATACGTCGCTATTTACTGCATATAAGAAGAAGTATAGATTCCCAACGGTATTCAGTAAGTGTCTAGTTTCACTCCAAAAAGTTTCCTGATTATTGCACTTTTCGATTGTTCGAGGATAATCCGAACGTAATTCGCTCAAAAGCTAGGAAATCACTTTTCATTTTGAAGGCCTGAAAAGGTTTATATAATTAATCCGGATCCACAAGAGGCATGACTTTTTATTTCGCGAGTCTTTGAAGTTCACCTCGACATTTTTTCAAGCATTTTTCCTTCTAGGAACATGACATGAAAATGAATGAATTCTGCAAGTCATGAATACTTCACAGCAAGAAAATGTGCCTGGTAATTTTTTTGAATTTCGGTGACTCAAGCGAAGTACTGCGCATAAATAGATGAATTCCTGCTTGTGAATTTGCAGGGGCTCCGCAAAATTCTGTGAAAAAAAATCGCATGTTCGTTGTTCGTCTTTATCATGCCAGTGCGGAAAAACATGCACCAATTTTCCAGTTCATTTCCATACAACAAGGCGACAATCAGTAAAATGAATTGCTAGGTCATCGGAAATAGCACTCGTTGAATTATTTTTTTATTCAAGTTATGAGTGGATTCCCGAACTGATCAGAAACCCCCAACACAACAGTAAATGACTATATGTCAATAAACTTCTTCCAAGTAACAAAAAAAAAACGCGCAATTCGAATAAGGATAATCAGGTGACATTTTTATTAGATGGCTAACTTCTGATTCCTTTGTTGAACTTGAATTTTATGCAGATATGAGTTGGAATTTATCAACATTATGAGAAACATAAATACAGATGCTGCCTTGCAATTCAACCTCTCACAATTCAACCATCCTTCAATTCAATGGTCAAATGGGCAACTCACAATTCAACCTCTGCTGCGCAATTTGGCCTGCAGAGAGACACACAACTTCAAGTGCCATTCAGAAAATATGCCAATTAACAATTTCTCCTGAATTTGACTGCTTTGAAATTCAACCCCAGTTCAGCTATGGATCAGGGTCAAATTGTGGGGTAACACCAATACAGTTCTGCACATACTAAGGTACAATGAAAATGGTTTAATAATTCAGTTCATATTGGTTAAGATCCTTCTGTTTCTAGCATTTATCATATGTCTTCAGAGGAGTATCCAGTACAGTATATTCAAGTAAAATTTCAGGCAATCCAAGCAAATATGAAGTGCAGTAAAAATTTCATTAACGTTCAGTAAATACCATTGCAGCAAATTTTTCAGTACAACAAACTTTTTCACAAGACCTGGCAGAAAGACCTTGGAGTACAGTGTGTTAAATATCTCAGTATTTCAAAATTTCAAATTAGTTTTTGTTATATATTCACTACAATCTCAAGGTATAAATTTCCACCAACATGCTTCTAAGTGCATATTTCCACACATCCTCCTGTCAGAATGAAGAGATTGGTGTAACTCATGGAATGCATGGTTGAAGCTAATTTTTTTTTCAAAGATCACTCAGTACTTCAAACAACAATGAAAATGTGAGAATGCCAGAAATGTCAGATATATCATTGATTATAGGTGTGAAAACGTTTTCCAGTCATTAATTTAGAAAAATCGTTTCCTTAACATTATTTGGTATAGAATAAGAAAATTTTCCTGAAATCCTGTAAAGTATGTGGTAACGAGATTTTACTGTATAAATGATTCGCTGCTTTGCAGTTATCTATAACAATAGACAATGCTCAAAATCATTTCACTCATTTTGATCAACTTTTTAGTCATAATTTTTTGTAAGCCGTTGAGAAACATGGTCAGAAAACAGCATACATGCTGTAGTTCCGGAGTGGAGTGGTACAATGTAAACTGTACACAGTATATTAGATCGCAAGCATGTCACCAGCAGGGATTACACGCAGGACGGCACAGACTGATACTAGATCGTGTATGATGGGTCTCGTCTACACGTGTGGAACATGCCGAGCCTCAACCGAATTGCCTCTTTATGCTGTATACTTAACCATCAGAGAGAAGGAAACAGGGGAACCGTTTAGTGATTAAAATGTGCGAGGGACAGTATTTACAGTATAATGTCCTGATGGGGCATGAGGGCGATTCCATGCAGGCGGAAGCGATGATTATGCTGGGTCTGGGAAACTATGGGGTAATTAGTAGCCCGTTTCATGTACGATCTTCATGATTGAGCGAAGCATTCAGCTTCACGAATGACTGACTCATCGTGTGTTGGAATCGCTGAATCCCACGGAAAATTACGATATCTCGCTTATAAATGAATATGGTACACTGTAAATTAAATTGACCGAGTACACGGGAAGTTCAATCCACGCGATCGACATCGCGTGACATCTACACCGAGTTTATACAACTAATAAGTACGCCTTATCACACAGATAACGCAAGATTCCAAAGCATTCGATGAATATGATGAAGTGTACTGCGGTACTTGACGGTATTTAGAAACTTGAATTTGTTTCCAACAAAGCACCAGATCGGTCTAATGCTGTATTCAATCGTATACTGTACATATAATCATCTGATTAAATTTTTTTTCGCCGAAGAGCGAAATTCGAGGAATTTAACCTCACTCATACAGAGCCTTTGTTACTGATGCAAGTTCCATTTCAGTGCAGTATTTCTAAAATATATCGTTGAATATTAGACCATCCTCAATCCGCACCTCACTCGGCAGCAATAATATGTCGCATTACATATATACTTATACATATCTGTCTTTGGTTTTCCATCAATTGTTTAAAAATGTTTATTAAAAAAATGGAAGACGGGAGGAAGTGATGAAAGACATACCGACGAATGATAATGAAGACTTTTTCCGTGGAGTGAGAATTTGCGGTATCAAAATCGTGAACTCATCCATGGTTAACCTTCCGGGATTTCATTGGGTCGAAATAGGCCAATCTCGGACTCACTCACTGCTGGACGGGATTTCCCTCGTCTTCGAAATGAATTCCTTAATTTTTTTGAAGTACAGTGTTTATTGAAGCATCGGATATATACTACGGTGCATTACGTTTAATTTTTTTTAAATTTCCTCTGACCAGTCAAATGTTTTTGTTCTTTACATTTCGTCAACTCGCAGAAATTCGAATATGACTTCGGATGAATTTTTAATTGAGCTCTTCTCATTTTTATTTCGAGCAAAGACGTTCGGTGAAATGGGACCGCTTCAAAAGTGACAACTACCGTGAAATTTTCCAGAAAAGTGATTCACCAAACGTAGATGTCACTGATACTATGCACAATTCATTACATGGGTGATGGATCGGTTATTGAGCGGACTGTCTAAATAAAGCTTTGAGTAAGCGTCATGTCCCGGCAGATATGATTACAAGTTCCCCTCTCATATTGACTGCATGGGCGTATTCCTTTGCACTTTACTGACAATTATCTGTAGAACAAGTTCTCCAGATTTCAAAATCCACGCAATTTTTGTCTTCGATGATAACTGCCAAGTGTGAATAAGCTGTCCAGTTATTTAGAATAACAGAAGCATCAATAGCGCATATGATTTTTTTATTAGCTCATATCATCAGTAGAAGCATGCCGATGTAGACAGATTATTGAAAGGACAATCACTGAAAAGACTTGAATATTGTAGGGCACAGGACCACAAAGAATAAATATTTTAGCAATGAACAAATCAGCACGAACAATCTGCCCAGGAACAGGGCAGGGGATTCTCAGTAGAATCCCAAAAGACTAGAACAAAATGTATTCCACATGAAAGTAAAGAATCAATCACAAATATTTCAATACTTCAACAGACAGCAAATCTTTAAACATCTTAATGCAATGAAAGCATCTGAGACACTGTGTAGATCAGAGGAAAAAAAAAGGTTGCAGGAGGAAGAGGATTGCACGATTAAAACCTGGTGGTGAAAAGAGAGTGCTGTGCTGAATATCAGGTGATCACTGGGAATTCCCAAATTCCCAGTGATCACGTGATGTGCACTTCTGTGTACGTCAAATTTCCTTCGGTAATTGTTTCCTACAAATATTTTGTTGTTTTACAAATCTGAAATCCTAAAAATCTGGTTTTCGAAAAATCGTTTTTTCTTCAACCGTATAATTCTATGCTCCACATGCATAAATTCTAACCGAAAAAAATAACTACGACCAGGACCTTGTCATAAACTGATTTTAAAACTTTAATTACCTGACGAAATTCAAGGAATTCGGTTGATTTGCAACCCGTATGACTGTCAATGATGTATGATGGAAAGTCAAAAACAACCCAGTGACGGAAGATGGACGAATTGATTCAAAATGAATCAAGCAACAAAATTATCAGAAAAATCCGCCAATTTATTCGTCATTCCCGAGAAAAGCGATTCAACTTCAAGCATCCTCTCCGCCCGACCCAAGCAAATACCGCCAAATGGCAGCATAGTCATTTTTCGACATGGTCTTCGGATCCCCGAAAAGCTTTCTCAATTCAGCACGAACCCGTTCGTGCAAAAGTAACTTGGCCCTCAGCAATGCATCCCGGGCCGCAAGGAACTCTTTCCGTTTGGTCGGCGTTTCTGCTCGCAAATAATCCAGCATTTTGACCCTGGACTGAGTTCGCAATTCTTCTACTCTCTTCTTCCGAAGTTCCAGAGTTTGCTTTAAAAGCTGCAGATCCAATTTCACCGACATTCTGTCCCCGCCGAGACCTGGCCTCCAGGTCGATGATGACGTGGATTTCGATGATGATGATGTGGATGTCGATGATGACGTGGATCTCGATGATGACGTGGATTTGGATGATGTGGGTCGTGGGGATGATGTGGACGTCTTCATCGTCGTCGTCGCTGACGTAGTTGTTTTAGCTGCTGCGGTGCTTGAATCATGTACTGATCGGTTGTTTTCATGTACTTGTAAAGGTGTCCAGTAAGCTGGCCCGATGTTTTGGAGAGAAATTGGGTTGGTGTCCCTGGCAAACGTTGACAGTCTCGACACCACTTTCGTTTTCGACGGCTGCAAATTTTAATCAAATCCTCAGCTAATTTGTAAATTCTTTCAGGAATTTCACGCACTTGATTTTTTTTTTTTTTCTGTCAGATAATTTTCGCTGATGGTATTAGCAGCATAGAAGCGCTACTTGTTACTCAGTATTGTTCTTGCATGAATTTGTTTAATATGGATGAAATTTTCTTCAAATTTCCAGAGGACCAACAAATTTTGAAAACAAACTTACCGTACAACTTTTCAGAATTTGTTTCTGACATTAACGCTAAATTTCTTCGATTCTTCAGATTTTCTGGTCATTTCAAAACATTCTGAAGCATATCAGCAACAATTTTTCCAAGAGGACAAAGCAAATATAGTGTCTTGCAAAATCAGCCAATTTTTCCCAGGAAAAATAAACTGACCTATTTCTTTACTAGAGCAATTTATCACTTTTTTATTCCACTGCAGTTGGAAGGAAATATTGTTTGAAAATTGCATTCTTCAGAAAGATGCCAAAAATTGTGGTACAACATTCATGAATACTGTAAATTAGAGATAATCATGGATAAACCACCCAAAAATTAACCTGGAAGTCCTCAAAGTTTATCATAAGGATTTTTTTGAATTGCGTCCACAATTTTTTCTGCCAATACTGTCAAAAAATTCTTCCGAAAAACATGATTATAGTGTAATTTTTCTACGCTTGAATTCCACCTGGGCTGTAATATCAAGGAATCAAGGCTGGAATGGCAGGAAAATTATAGTGAAGGTAAATAAGCGAAGCCAATTTTCTGAACGCACCGTTCAAATATAGGGCCTATGAGGAAATGGGTCTGATACCTTTCAAATTGTATCTTCAAATTTCCGCTCCTCTTTTCAGCTTCAAAAATGTGCGACATTTTCAGACAGTGAAAGACTTGTGTCTGATTATTATCATGCTAAGCAGGAATAAATCAGCAAACCTTTTTCAACGTTATCGTCTCCCACATAGTTTCCAACTCGCTGAGTGTGAATTCATTTCTGAACTTCTGGGCCAATAGTTGCTCCATCTTTTTAAGCAACTCAATTTTGGAGTTCCTCAAGTTATGCTTGACATTGAGGAAGATTCGCCTTGCAGAGTCATTTTGCGTGACCTTCAGATTGTGAAACTGCTCAGCGGCCTCCTTTGTCAGCGCTTCAACTTTGGTCTTCTCATGAATTATGGACAAGAGGAATTCCTGCTTCCGGTCCCTGCTGGGTGATGACACACTTCGTCGACTCCGAGATGCGACCTTTCTCGGCTGCTTGCGCTTTTTGAAAATATTCATTATTGACTTGTTGATGCTGTTCTGCAGAAATTTCAGCGTGGCTTCCTGGCGGCGTTTTCTGTTTGACGTTGGGCCGGTTTTCAAACCAGATGGCACCACTCGATGTGTGTCTGCAGCGGGTTGCAAATGCTGAGGCTTGAACGTTGTGGGCACCTGTCGCTTGTGAGCTTCCGTCGGCTTGAATACAATTTCAGTAATAGGACATGTGAATGTGACGTACTGTACATGAAATACATTGATGTTGAGTACCATATTTACTCAAGTACCACGCGCACCTTTTTCCCCAAATTTCAGAAGAAAAAAATGGGGTGCGCATCATAAGTGGGTACAAAATTTTCAAGAAGTTTTAGGAAGTTATGTTTGCATTATACTTAATTATAATGGAGAAATTTGGAACAAATATAAAAAGAAAACATTTTTGTATTGAAAAAGTTGAAAATTCATCAGATTTTTGTTCCATTCACGCCTAGAGTCAAATTTTTTGTTTTTATTTTTGAAATTCTATGGTTTTAGATTCACTAAAAATTGGGGTGCACCTCTTACTTGGGGATAAGATTTTTGCAAAATTTTCAACTGAAAAACTCCTGTGCGCACCATACTCCAGGGTGCATGGTATACTCAAGTAAATACGGGGTATGTCAAACCCTTTATGAGGGGTTTCCTTGCACAATATTTTGGGGAAATGCCACCAATCAGTGGAAATTAAATTCACAATCTGCTGGGGAACACTGTAGGAATTTTTTTTTCTACACATTCCCTGTCCCTAATTTGCACAACTACTCCATTCCTTTGAAGGAGTTATGTTTTCTGGAAACTTACGTTAGGTAACGCTTGATTTCCCTGATCAGATTACTAGAAAACTATTCAATCCGTGACAAACCACAGAAATTCCAATGTTTTCCTTGCAATCTTTTTAAGGCGCTTGTGGTTAACTGGAGTGGATGCGGTATTCATTGTCTATTCAAAAAAGCGGTTGTGAAGAGAATGCATTGAGAAAAATCCAGTGAAAGTTTTCCCTCCTATCCAATATTCAATTTTGATTTTTTTTAAAGCAGTCCACGCACAACATTTACTGCAAAGAATCATTGCTCTCTTTTTAGTCCTTCTTTACCTTCACATATTTCTACATCTGTGTTTGAATATAGATTTGTGCTCAAATTTGTCTTGCTCACTTGTGCAGTGATTTCAGAATTTCTTGTGAATTCTTTCACTCTGTTAATACTTGACAAATGATTCTCAAAACTCAATTTTTCCGAAGTGTATTTACAAAATGAGTGTATGGGTTTAAAATTCTGTACTTGAAAAATGGTAAAGACCACCTACAATTATGAGAAAAATAATACTACTGTATAGACCAGTGTTTGTCAACCTGTGGTCCACAGACGAGCAACAGCATGCAGAAGTTTTTTGCTGGTCTGCATGAAATTTTCAGCATAATACATCCATCGAAAGTAACAACAAAGTCCATTAGTGTATCTTTGTCTAAACTTTTTGAAAGACAACGGCAGTTAAAATTATTTAATAAAACAAGTTGGCTTTTATTCTGATGATGCTTTTATTCTGAGCAAGATACATTCTCATCTGCTGAAATAAATTAATTTGATTATTCATTCTGAGAAACATGTCTTCAAGCACACCTTTCTACTTTTTTGATGACATTTAGCTCTAGCTGGTTCATAGCTGCTTAACTTAATCTTTGTAAAAAATCAGAAACTTTTGAATACATGTCATGAAGTTTTTGAAGCAAAACTTTTCAGGTTCGCAAAACATTTTTGAAACTTTGTCAGTCCATCCACATAACTTTTTGGGGGAATTTGCTTGTCAGCAAGCAATTTTATGGAAATTTGCTGGTCTGCAGAAAATTCTTTGGGCATTTGCTGGTCCAAAATTTTTAATGGAGATTTGCTGGTCCGTGGGCCCAAAAATGTTGGGGGAACACAGCTAGAGACAGCACACCTTTGGGAACTGTTTCTTGAAGTCAATGAGCATGGCAGCCATGGCATGCTCATCCAAGCTGTCCCCGAATGAAATCCGGAAGTACGACATGATGGCCTTGTTCAGCCGGGTCTTGACTGCCTTCAACTGCGCAGCAGCATCCGCAAACTTGGCCTTGGCCATCTTGGAAGTTGGCTCTGCTTGTAGCTGCTTTGCAGCATCCCGCACAGCCTGTGCCCGCAGGCGCACAGGGTCCTGGAACGTGGCTGAGATGCGCTGCAAATGATGAGCATGCTCTTTGTTGAGCTTTGGCAGAGACCCGATGGCCTTGGGGTTCTTGTTGTTGCTTGTGTTGCTGGTGCCGGTTGGAGTGGTGTAGAACAGGTCCAGGTCCATCCTGTCTCCTGCGTCGGACATGTATTGCGACGAGTTCGGGTTTATGTCAGCGTCCCTCAGCAGGCTGTCAAAAAGGCTCGACCTTACCTGTTTCCGCCAAAAATTCCACAGCATGTCAAGAAAATTGAGCAAAAAGTAAAGAAAAAAAGGCAGAATAATACTCAGCAAAACGACTGATCTTACATTCTCTTTTTTACACACAGAGCTCATGCTTTATTGAAGTATAGAAATCTGTACATTAGTCACGTCAGCAACAAAAAATCATCCAATCTCTCTCAATATTTACTGTTCTGATTTCTACAAGTCCGGTGAATTTTTAAAATGTCTTCATATCAGAGACATGAGAAACTCTAAGAAAACAGATAATTGTACATTTTGCCTATACAGTACAGCATGTATGAATGTACAAAATCATTTGCGTGCTTTCCAGTCATTCAAACAGTGTTAAAATCGTAAACTAATGTTTTTGTGCTCTTCAAATTACCATAGAATACCTCATAGGTGGGAGTTCATTGTAGAAGTACATAACTACAATTTAAATGGACTTCAATTTGTTCTTGCCCCAGAGCATTTTTGAGTTTGAAAAGTTTGTCCTGGTGAAGATCTTCGAACTGTTCCTTTTTGATAGATATCCTACTTGTAAGAATATGCCTAATACATTTTGAAGAGCATAACACAAATAATTTTCAGATACTGTATTTCTTATTTGGGTTTCTGTGACAGTATTTCTACAATGAAGCCCTAATTCAATTGTAAAAAGACCTTGCAATTTAAACTACTGAAGGAGGAATGTCGAAAAGATTCGCATTTAATAGATGATAAATTGCATTGGGCTTTATAAAAATTGGTTAATGATTCCACAATTTAGGGACTTTTTTACTTAGGCTTATTTGAAAGGTCCAATGGTAGTTTTATTTTTCAGCAGTTTGTCACACATAACTGCTAACTAAAACTAAGTCAAGGAATCTCTTCATTTGATGAGCTCTTTTAAAATAAGGTTTCTTCGCCAGAAACCGCGTTAAAGTAAATTTTGTGACAGAGCCAATTACACACATGCCATGTTTTGGAAGCAATTAATTTTTTGCAGCAAATATGACATACCATTGATAGGGGCATTATTTTGGGATCGTCACACACTTTTCCCATTTCTTTGTAGACCTCACACGTATCTTCAAGAAAATCTGAATTTCTTGCCTTTAGATTCACAGAGCCTTTGTGGAGTTCTTCATGGACACGTTTTAGCAAAATTCAGGGTGGGGAGAGATCTTCAAGAATATTTTGGAGAAATTTTTGGAAATGCGAAAATACGGGTTCTCATCTGTACAGGGGGTTACCATTCATTCATTTAGAAAAGAAAGGTTGCAAAGAAGGTTGGACACTTGGATTTACTTGAGTGGCAAGGTTCAATTCAGCGTCAATTTCAGCATCAAGTGCAGCATGTGCCGCCTTGAGGTTAAGTCCATCCTGGGACAAGTTGAAGTACTCTGCTTCCTCGGTAGAGTCCTGCAAACGCTTTGTCAAAGTTGCTGGTTTCAACTCAGCTTCATCATCTGGTAGCAGTTTCTCTGCCAAGAGTGTGCTTTTGTACTCCTGAAACCCAGGCTTTTCAGTTTCCATCCCAACAGGAAGCGACTGTTTTGGGCGTGAAGATGATAGCACTTGCTCCATGCGAGTCATTGGCCCCATCACAGGTACAGTTTCAGGTATGGTCTGGGTAAGTGGGGTGTGTGTGGTTGAGAGCAGTTCTAGGAGTGGATGCTGGTTAGTGGTGTGCTCAAGACAGGCTGCTTGAATTGTGAAGAACTGGGTGATCTTCATTTTGAGAACACCTAGGGCGTCATCAGTTTCAGCTTTGGCTACTTCCAGGGAAACCCTGTTTTCGGCTGTTTTGTCCTGGTCAAACCTATTAAAGAAAAAAAAAAAGGATATCAAACGCAGCCAGCATTGGCCCTTCCTGTCGCAGAGGCAGGATTCATCTACAAAATTTGCTCATTGATACATTTTAAATTTAAAAATCATTTTAAAGAAGGCTGGGAATATTTTTCACTAGTCTGAAAATATAAATCTGGCACTGGATTCTGTGGAGTAACCCACTACCTTCAATGGTTAATTCAAATAATCCTTCTTCAGGGGATTCGGAATTTTTTTTTTATTGTGTGCCCAAGAGAACAGCATTAAAAAAAACCTAGACTGAACATCACAGCCTAAGTTTTGAAAGATCTTGGCAGAAAAACATTTTTAGGTGCACTTTTCTGCATTTATACCAGGTCAAAATTCAGTGAATTTAAATACAGTACTCCAATAAGTTTTTAATTATGCCAATATCTCCACAAGGTTCACTATTCCGTCCTGGTTGTGTTTTTGTGACATTTGATGAAACTGAAGCAAGGCTAGGCTGAAAAAAAACCTTGAACTAGCTGAGGGATAGGAAAGAACCCATAACTACTACAGTATTTAGAACTTAAATCACCGGGTATTTGATTTCGACTTAGGGATTCTCTACAAATTGTTTAATTCATTGAATCTTATCTGGGTACTGGCTGAACACCTTGGGCTCTAGTTTGTGTCCAGTGTTTGCCTTGTGCTGTAATTATTATTGTCCATATTTTATTTTTTGGTCTAAAATGGCAAATCATGAATTTTTAATATTCAAGCATTGTTATGTTCTGCAATATTTTTTTTCTTTTAATGCTCAATAATTTTTCTCTTCTTTTCCATTCTGATATGCTGAAATTTTTTGAATGACATGTATAGAGAGTTTTGGGTTGGATGATGGGCTGTGGAAACAATTTTTGAACCTTGTGAATTGTGGGGTTGCGCTGGGGCTACTTTGTATAGCGTGTTTGCAAAGGACTCTAAAAACCAGTGCCTGGCACCAAGAGGTATGGAAGGGCAGGATGGAAGCTTGTGCAACCTTCCGCCAAATTTCACCTGCTGCAGAAACTGGTTGTGAAAGTTGTTTGGGTCAGAGTTGTAGAGGAAGCCAGCGGTGCCCAGTATGGTCACTTGCTGACTTCATCTGATGAAAGAAGCATCTCCCTAGAAGTTCCCAGTTGTGTTGATTATTCTCCTGATTGTTCTGATTAGATTCCTGATCTGTTGTGTCTGATTGTGCATTTTGAAGTGTTTGTATTATTTGCCTGACTGTTGTTAGAGCATTGAGATTAAAACCTGAACTGTTCTTGGGACTCCTGTAAGGAGGATCCGGCCTTGTAAAGGCTGATTGCCCTGTTGATTTATTTCATAAGATCTTTGTGTTTATGGCACCACATGAATGCTGACAAGCAGCAAATATAGCGTGTTTATCTACCTAATCAGCAAGTAGGGTGGGTGTTGAACACTTGCCTCTGTTGGGCCAGTTTCATGGCTCTGTGCTTGGTAATGTAGGCAATCTTCTCCATGAGGATATAGTTCTCCAAGGCAGCAGCCACATCTCCAGCAGTTTTCCTGTCCAACTTCAGCCTGTAGCTTACAATTGGTGCCAAGCTCAAGTCTTGTTCATGCTTATTCCTTTTCGTCACTGGTTGTGCTGGTATCTCCAGCTCTCCATCATCCACCAGCAATTGTGGTCTCCTAACCTTGATCTTGTCCGTCCCTGCGTTCTCAATGCGGATGACCAAAGCATTGTTCTGCCTGTTTTGCATGGTTGCCAAAATTGGGGTCTCTGGGCCATCAGGCTGAGCATATTCAAAATCATCTGCTCTGGTTGCACTGGGCCCTTGACCTCGCACTCCTGGAATGTTTCTGGCTGCGTGATGGTTAGTCTGTGTCTTCAGTTCCTGTTGGGTACCATGACCTATTGTCGTTGGTGGTGTTGTGGTAGTGGTTGAAGCCTTTGAATGATGTTGGCTGTCGTGTTGTTTGGCATTGATTCGCACCTCGAACAAGTGATCGTTTTTCTGCTGTTGGGACATGAAAGTCATGGGTATTGCGATGTTCTTTACGGGTAACGGGTTTATGTTTGTGATCCCTGGGGGTTTCGGGTTTCGCATTATTATGTAAGCATAATCGTTTTTCACAGGTACAAATTCGACTGGGTTTGCAAATGTTGCGGTTGTGGTTGGGATTGTGGTTGTGCCACTGCCGGTTAGTGAAGCAGGGGTAAGCAGAATAGGTTTACCCAGATCTATTCTTAGAATATCGGTGTAAGAACTATGTCTTAATCGTGGTTTCTGGCTGGAAGTTGGCGATGCAATGTTATGCTCGGGGATGTTAATTTTGAAATGCAATGGGTAAACTATATTTTGGCCCGACTGATGAAGTGAGGTGGGCATTATTTGTGAGGAATGGGTGTGAATAGGAACCTTGATGATGTTGCGATTATCTTGGTGAGCTGGCGAAGCCTGTTCCAAAATTCGCTGGCTCAACTCCTCCAGCAGATTTTTGGCAACTTCCGGCGAATCAGTGAGTGGTAGATGGAAACAAGCAGCGAATTTCACCGTGCTACTCATCGGTGTTGGTGGAAGTGAGGTCGTGGTGGGAGTAGTTGATGGCGTCACTGTGGCCTCGGTGGAGTACCACCCAGCTGGGGGCTGACCATCGAAAACAGCATACATGCCATGGTTTACTTGTTGGTGATGAGAGCTCTCTTGAATGAGTTGTTGCCCTTGATCACTTTTGCTTGGGTTTGTGATTTGCCCGGGGGTCACGAACATGGGGTTGATGTAGATCCGTGGTGATTCAATGTCCCGAGGCAGGAATGTTATATCTTCCCGGAAATGCCCGAAGGGATGCTAAAAAGCGTAGATTTTGAATGAATTTCAAAAGGATTACCATGTATATGGAATGACCTGCGAATAAAAAATCAACAGATGGTCTGAGTCATGTCACATCTTTATTTAGTAAGATGAACTTTTTCGAAATTTTATTCAAGTCAAAAGAAAGCCAACTTTCAATAGGGACTGGCAAAAAAACAATTTAGAGATGCCTCGAGTTAAGAAAGCAAGCATTTTTGTAGAAAGAAATAATTATTACAGAATATTTTAATCGGTGATATTCTGTGCATTAAATTCATTTTTAAATTAGGAGGCAGGACAATGCTGAACTTGGAGGCAAGGCTTTCAAAGCACCAAATTATATTTTTATTGCTTTTTCCTTTCATGGATTAATAAATTAATAGCCAAAATACCTCTAGAAAATTCAAGTTATGGATGTTTGAGAGGAAAGCCTTCGCTTTACTGGGAAGGATTTCAATAGATTGATTTGAAGTAAATTTAGACAGTGTGACATAGAAAGGTATTTTACTTAGGGATTGAGGTTTGAGTTATCAAAGTTCAACTGTATCCGCATGTATAAAATTTATCTTTTGAACATTAGGTGGAGCATTTTGGTGCATTTTTTCCAGAGAACAAGGGAAAATTTATAAAAGTATAAATTCAGGTTCTTAAAAAGGAATGAGAGTCAGCGTAGCAAATTCATCCTTGTCTTGAAGTTTAGCATCCTGTCAACTAATTTATCCAGCAATTCAAGAATACCACCAGTTTTTATCTTCATTGAATTTGTCATTTTTACCTGCCAGAAAAGATTCTGGTTTCTTTGATAAGTCAAAAACCCCTAATTAAAAAAATATCGCGTCCCTCTGAGTTTTAAGTGAAAAAGTTTGACTGAAATTTTGGTGATATCATATTTGCGTCTGATGAATAATTCCAAAAATTTGCAGAAATTATCACCAGCTGTAATATTTTAAAAGTGCAAGAAGTGCAAAAGGTTAAAAGTTTTTCAAAGCAAATTGTTCGTAGGTAATAAATTAAAAAATCAATTTCTGTTGCAGAACCCCTTTTTGATCTTGCATTTATTTGGAAATGAATTATACAATTATTTTTTCATGATTATGACTGAACATGTAATGTTTTCTGATCGCTCTTTGAACTTTTTTTGTATACTGCCAATTTGGAATCGATATTAATGGGAAGTATGAAGTCCTAGCACTCCACCTGCAAGTTAATGGTTTCAATCGGCGGGGCCCCAATTACTGGCTGATCAGAGATCGGGTTCAGCAGGACACCCAACCTTTCGGGTTCTGTTGCCGGAAAATCGTGGTGGTCTGTGTGGACTATATACGGCCTCGCTACAGCGAAATACGGAGGGACAAACTGGGCCTGTTGCTGGCCCTCCACAACCGTGTCCATCGGAGGAACCACTGCTTGGTCCTGTGGTTGACGCAGCATTAATGGGGCCACTGGGACAGGTCCATAGTCAAATTTGTCACTCAGGTCACGACAACCCCGCTCATTGCCGGTACTGCACATGATCCGGGATGCGGAAGGAGTGTTTTGCTGGTGAATGTGTCTGCTGAAGGAAGCCTCCTGATGGGGCTGGTGGCCCGAGTAGTCTGCCGGAGATTCCCGATGCCTGCGTTGCATGATGGCCGGCGCCATGTTGTAGAACTGCAGCGGTGCACTGCGAAGCTTTCCTGCCACATTCAACTTTTCCGTAAATAATCTCTGCTTTTCGGCCCTTTCCCCTTAATTTTGTTGTTGATTAAATTTCAAATTCTGAGCGAACAAAAAAAAAACGTAACGTCTTTTGAGAACAAAAGCAATTGAGAACGAACACATTTCTTCGTTAGAGCGACACTATTTTTCAAAAGGTTTCGTAATTCTTAAAACCCCGTAGGACACCGCTATGATTTCTTATTGCGTTGATTTATGTAGCCTTGGAAAATTTTTGTGAAGTGTGTAATCATGATTTGCTACCATAATTTTTACGCTTATTTTTTTAGTGTGAAAAGCACAACAATTGGCCTCTTTTTCCATGTGCCGAGCATACTTGTGTTACTCAGATTTCTTCTGATATTTTAGTTTTTTGGTATTTTCTTGGAAAAGACGGCCGAATTTTATGTTTTGATGCAACATTCTGAAATTGGCAAGTGCTTGTGCGAGTATTATGAAAAGTGAATATCCCGGGAGTTTGAATTATATTTTCTACAGCTGCTTTGGCATCGTCATCTTCCAATAATTTCTATTTTCAAAAGACCAAATGGGACAAATGCGAAATTAAAGTTCGTCGAAATTTTTTAAATTTTTGAATAAATATGGATATTAATTCACCATTCTGGCTCACTTTTAGAATACTGTACAGTATTTTGATGTAGGAAGTGGTGCAGAATGTTTTCAGGATAGAGTATCTCTACGACATTTGAATAACTAGTGAACTTCGAAACTCGTTTTCTTGATCGCACAGTAGAATATTGTTCCAACAAACCCACTGGGAAATATAAAATAGCTTCGGTAGAACAAAAATGGGTTATAAAGCTACTCATTTTAATATTTTGAATATCAGAAACGACTTTTGAAAATTACAGAGACAAAAATGACTTTGTTGTAAGCAATTAATTTTTCTAATGAGATTTGTTGTGATGAGTTTGTATTGTACCTCAGTCTGGATTTCAGGAAATTCTGATTGACAGACGCACATTTTTTAATTGTTGCGATGCAAATTGCAAAGATCGATGCTCACCACTGTTATCGATGATTGCCCGTCTGGATCGGGATGCTTTTGCATCATCTCCTTTCAGGGTGTCTCTAGAAGGTAATTTTCTGACCACCAGTTCATGAAGGCCATCCTTTCCAGAGTTTCCATTCATTATTCCATTGACTGCTGAAGATTCCCAAAGGTTTTTGCAGTTCGAGGACTGTATTATTGCAGTTACTGCCAGGATCAATAAATATTGTTGAGGACACTTGATTCCAGCAGATACTGGACACCTGGCCACATCCAGTGGCTGAAGAATGACAAAATATGAAAAGCATCAGGTGATAATTTTTTCAGATAAATATTAAGTTTAAAGAGCATGTGGTGAAGTTTGATCCTGCATTACAATCATGCTTTTTCCTTCAAAGCACACAGGGTAAAACAATACATTTCAATTATACGGTGAAATATTGTTTAAAAAAAGATATGGTGGACAAAAATATTCTTTTTAATTTTATTATAAAAGGACTAAAATAAAATTGTTTCTATATACAGTATTGCGCGGAAATTGAGTACAATATTAATTTGCACCATGCTATAACATTTTTTTTTTTTTATGGGATTTGTTGCAACAAGATTCCACCAAACTTGAAAAAAGGAATGAATGACTCAGATGGACACATAACTTCTGCTGACGAGGATTTTACGGAAAAGAAAGGCTACAGCTTTTTACAGCTATGTAAAATAAGATCTTAAATTTTGCATGATAGGATTCTATGTAAGTTAGGGGATTTTTCCTTCACAGCAGGCTAAAAAAGAAGTATTTTTGAAATAATGATGCAATTTTTATGTTTGTCACACTATTTTTCCATGCTGTCTAAAACTCAAGTGATTTCAACTTACTCTTTTCCGCATTCTGTACCTTCCCAGTGTATTGAATTGATTCCTATGACGAAGTTGTGTTCTATTTGGCGTGCAAATGCATCAGCTCTTTGGCCTCCCACTTATATAATCCATGATCTGTTCACTGGCTTTCTCAATAGAGAGAAGGTCCCTAAATTGAAAGTGATAATTTATTGTTCAACTTTTCGCTATTCCCAGAAATGTGAGCTCTTTCAACCTCAATGCCCGACCTAACTCCCTAGGACATAAACTTGGTCACTCTCTGAATCATGAATACCCCCATCGTTAGCTGAATACAATTTCAAGAAATCATTGCTCAAACATAAAACAATGTACCATAGACTCACGAGAGTAATCAGAAGCACCCAACGAATGGGGAATCGCAAAAGTGGTCACTTTTGGATTGTCAAAAAAAATTACCCAAATTAAGGTTTGCAAGTTTTTGCAGTAGGATGCCTTTGGCAGAAAAAGTAAAACTTCTAAAATTTGCTTACTTTTGGCGATGAATAAGATATAGGAGTGATGGATGCATAAAAGGTTTAATATAAAATTATGATACAGTTGTACCTCTTCAAATCAAATTTCAAGGGACCCACAAATTATTTGACTCAGGGAGGTTTCCCATTAAAAGGAGGTATTTAGTTGAGGAAACAAGCATTTTTGCGGGAAATAAATTGCAGGAAACAGTGAATGGTGATATTCTGGGCCTTAAACACCCTCTTAAATGAGTTGTCAGGGTGCTGAACTTGGAAGCAGCATTTGTTTGCTCAATTATTATTTTTCTTCCTTTTACAACACATCAAAGTTACTTCTTGATTGCTTTCCTCTTCCCGGAGTCAACAAAATAATAGCCAAAAGCCTATAGCAAATTTTAATTACCAGATTTTTGAGGGAAAGTCTTTGAGCATAGATTTTTAATGCATCGTTTCTAAGGAAATTCAGATGGGGACTTTAAAATGTTGACTTAGGGAGGTTACAGTTATTGAGGTTCACCTTTAATCTGGTAGTGATTGAAAAACTTGATTTAACCATTTGTAAATTTCGGCCTCATATTCATATGAACTTTTGAGTTACATTTGAGTGAAATTGAAGCTTCTGCTAAAGTCAATTGAATTAAATTTTTCACATGTTTTTGGATTCCTTAAACTCATTTTTCTCCTAACAACATCCCAAAAATTCGGGATAGTTTTTTTGGATTGCTGAACTTCTGAGGTTCAAAGGGTACACCAAAATTCTCGTATTGGATACAATCACTGTGATTTTCATTGAACTCTGTCGCAATTTTCACTATCACCAAAGAGCTTGGAACACTTTTGCACTCAGGAACAAATATTGGAGCAATTTTTTTCAGGAAAACCGCTGAATGAAAAATCATTTCACCATCTCTTTATTGAGATAACACACTCACTCATAGTTGAAAGTGTAAGTGCCCTCTGAAGCAGGCAGCCACATGAACCAGAGTTGGCTCTATGCTATTATTGGGAAAGCTAGAAAAATTGAGTGAAAAGCTAGAAATCAAAAGAAATCCTCCAAAATCCCGCGCCCCTCTAGAGCAAACTCTTTCATTTGGTGTTTGTCCCCCTCACATCGGAAATAAATGAAGACATTGACGACCGTAAGAGAATAACACTTCCCAGTGACACTTCATTTCTATTCTTGATTTGTGCCTGGGAGTAAGTTCATCTCTGAGTTTACCTAGCCTATATCCAGCAATTATGATTTCAGTGTTTCATTTATGTCAAAAGGACACAATTGACTGCATGTGTGAGGACCAGTATGACTTCAAAGTATTACTGTCTTGTCCTTCATTTCTAGTCAGGGGCAATTTCATCTCCAAAACTGCTGAGGTTATGAAATCTTACAACTGCAATTCAACTTTTGAGCAGTAATAGCCTTCATAACCATTCAGCAATTAAATTCAAGAAATGTAACTGCTCACATTGAGCTTTGATTTCCTAAGAAAAAAGGAGGGCTCTGAAACTAATCCAAGAAGCCAGTTGTTGATCAGAAAGTTCACAGCCAAAGTATAAATTTAAATTTTACAGATTCATATACTAGTTCGTTCAAATCTTGGACATGAACAATCGATTTGGAGTCCAAAATGTTATTGATGATTCCGTTCGCATTGGAAACTTTGGTTCTGCATTTGCAGATGTTGGATTTCTTGTTTCAAATGATATGCATGAACAATGTAGAACCATTCCCTTTAGTTCAGACCAATTCATCAAGATAGTTCATGATCATTGAACAGCATAAGCTTCTTTTCCGTCATTTGATGGAAATATGTTTTTTAGCATCAATAGGTGCATTATAGATTTGACCAAAGGTTACCAAAACTCAGCGTGGACAGATTAGCCAAAGTCTGACATTTTCTGGAAGGAATAAACCCGTTTATTTCCATTACCCTTGAATTTTACTTATATGGTGGAAACGCAGACAAAGCAAAAAATGTCAACTATTGAAAATTCGAATTTTTCATGGACTGTGACTATTTTGATCAGTTTAGAATTTTTCTTCTTGTGCTGCTGGGCACCAAATGTTGCAAAAATATCCTTGCTCTGCTGCAGAAGTGTTGAAGGGGCAGAATGGTCCGCTCCTTTTTTTCAATACTTTTGTTACTGTTGGCAGCACTGTAAAGAGCTGTGGGAGGAAACCATGAGAGGTTCTATTATCTGTCCCTGAAAATACATCTCCCACTGGGACAAAATGTTTAACAGCCTAACCTGACATTTATTAGAAAAAATAATTTACAAAAAATAATTTTTGCAACAATTTTGTTTGGTCCATGTCTTTTATAACCAGAATATTTTTTGAATTTCTATACACCTAAAATTCTGTCTTGCCACTTCTTCCAAGGGTTTTGTTGTGATGAGATCTTAGTGTACTAAATTACAGTAATCTTGATGATTGTGTTACACTGATATTTCAATGGCTTCATATGCAAGGTTGTGGCTGGAAACCATCATAAATTATTCTACTATGGACAGCCTATTCTTTAAATTATAAACTGATCATAGCATTGTAAAATATCAGAGAGTATCTATAAGGGTTGTCTGTGCAAGGAAAACACCTGGAAACCATCCCAAAACTTGTTTTTCTAAAAAAAAAAACATGATTAATCTGTAAGTGATTTGTATAGAAACTGCTGTAAAGACACAAATTTGGAACTGTTCTGTGTTGGAACTGTTGCCATAGAATATGTTGCATATTTACAGTCTTATCTTACTTAGATTTACTTCAGTGGGATCAATCTCATAGGAATTTTAAAGAATTCTTTGTGACCTTGCCAACACTGTGACCTTGCCTTTGTGGGCCTCGCCCTACAAGTAACCAGCACTTAATCACCTCAAAAAATGTTCGTCATTTCAAAGAGCATACAAATTATACTGGGATGATGCAGTGTTAAATTATCCATTGTATTGGCGATTTGTCCATTTATGTAAGTAAATTTTAAAATAAAATCGAATGTTTCTATGAAATATTTCTTGAACAGATGAACATTCTTAAAAAAGAGAAAAGCTGTCTTGATTTTTGATNTGTACTAAATTACAGTAATCTTGATGATTGTGTTACACTGATATTTCAATGGCTTCATATGCAAGGTTGTGGCTGGAAACCATCATAAATTATTCTACTATGGACAGCCTATTCTTTAAATTATAAACTGATCATAGCATTGTAAAATATCAGAGAGTATCTATAAGGGTTGTCTGTGCAAGGAAAACACCTGGAAACCATCCCAAAACTTGTTTTTCTAAAAAAAAAAACATGATTAATCTGTAAGTGATTTGTATAGAAACTGCTGTAAAGACACAAATTTGGAACTGTTCTGTGTTGGAACTGTTGCCATAGAATATGTTGCATATTTACAGTCTTATCTTACTTAGATTTACTTCAGTGGGATCAATCTCATAGGAATTTTAAAGAATTCTTTGTGACCTTGCCAACACTGTGACCTTGCCTTTGTGGGCCTCGCCCTACAAGTAACCAGCACTTAATCACCTCAAAAAATGTTCGTCATTTCAAAGAGCATACAAATTATACTGGGATGATGCAGTGTTAAATTATCCATTGTATTGGCGATTTGTCCATTTATGTAAGTAAATTTTAAAATAAAATCGAATGTTTCTATGAAATATTTCTTGAACAGATGAACATTCTTAAAAAAGAGAAAAGCTGTCTTGATTTTTGATTCCTCGCGTCATCTGATGCATTTATTTATGTTTTTATTCTCGTCGAAATTCCGTTTTCAAAGGAATTTCCTAAGCCTCAAATAATTGGAGTGAGAACGCTAACACAATGGTGAAAAGAGTTCGTCAGGATTGATGGGTTCATTTCTTTGATTCCAGATCATGAACTCACTTTCAAAGGTTTATCAAAATTTCCTTGGGCATATACTCCTTCCTCTTCCTTCATACTCTTATTATGTGCACAACCCACTTCAGTTTTTCCTCTTCTAAGCTTCCCACAGATGCATGAATTTTTATTTCCTCTGTTCAATTTCCTGGTTCATTTGGAGTGCTCGAGGAAATCAGTGTAAACCATCAACTTGGAAGCAGTGCCACTTTGACGAAGTCCTAACACTTTTGAAAGCAGCAAATTAAGAGATTATTTACTAATTTACTACTCATCCTGCAAAAACTGAAATTGTTTTCTTCAAGCTCTGTTGGAAACAAAGATTTGCGGCTCTGTCAATGTCACATCTACCGGCAGGCTACTAAACAAAAATTGTCGCTGTGATTTATTTTGGAAACGATACACCAAAAATGTGGCGTTATCTCAAGGAAGGTTTTTGGAAATTTTTAGTTTCCATGGAAAAATGATGCCCACAATACAAAGCTCATTCGTAAACACCCTTGAACCATTCACCCTGTGCTGAAAGATAAGGTGACGGCAGCCAAATACCTTCTTTTGGCCTGCAAAAATGGAAAACGGGACAGGAAGGAGTCGGACTCTGCTATTTTCAAGGTTTTTGAGAAACTCCACAGTCTTGAATTTTGCCCAACACAGCTGCAAGCCACATGGTGCAGCTGTGTCACCTCGAAACAGACTTCCTTTGTATATGCCAGTCATAAAATTTCTGAACCCTCCCGGGACCCTTTTATTCTCGCCCCCACCCCTCCCTCTAAGCAATCTTTCATTATTTGCTTTTTGGGGACCACTATTATTTTCTGGT